TTTGAAGAGGCTGGCGAGGATGAGCCGGGGCTCGGTCGGCGTGTGAGCCACGGGATCGGGGTTAGTAGAGCGCCGCCGAGGGCTTCGTCTGTGCCGACGGTTGAGGCGACCGAATTTGTCGAGTTGCTCCAGGCCACCGAGGCCGCCGGGTTGTTAACTTCCTGGCCGTTCGCGCTGCCATTGGAGAGCAGCGTCATGGTGGACATGTCGGGTATGGCTGGCGGAAGAGGGTAGGTGTTTGCGCCGCTGGTGACATGAACGACGCGGTCGACAGCATGGAGGTAGGATGCCAGTTGGCGGTAATGGCGGCGCGGCTCAAGGACGAGCTCTGCAAGGCGCTGGATCGTGTGCGGCGGGTACTTCGGGAAGCTGGCCAAGACAGTGTTGATCTCGTTCAGCATGGCTTCAATTTGTGCGGGGAGCGATCCCGAGGCGGTGGCCGGGGGTGCATCGGCGACAGCTGCGTCGGCATCAGTAGCGCTTTCGACCGTGGCCTTGAATGGCGAGGCATCTTTGGGCTGGCTGTTCTCCTTGTCGGCATCCTGTGATGACGGCTGGCTGCTGGCGGGATCGATGGAGGACGAGGGGAGCGGCGAGAGTAGTCGTGGTTGTTGGCCTGGCGCGTTAATGGGTTGAGGAGGGGTGGGTAGGTTCGGAATAGGGAATTCATTGTGGGCGATCTAGATATTCGCGATGCGAACTGGTGAGCGCGCCCTACCGAGGAGATTTCGTCTTTCATGGACGTATGATGGTGGGATTCTCCGGTCGAAGCCAGACTTGGGGGCGGACGTACCTTATCTAGCCTCGAGATGATTCCTTGCGACAGAGCGGGCCATAAACCGCTGATGCACCATGCAATTAGCAGCTGAACAGGACACGGATAGAGAAGACGGCAAGTTCACTTACTAGTCCATTTCGCCGCCTGTCGCGACCGTCCGCAAGAGATCTTCGTCGACCTCGATCTCCATTCTGGCGGGGATGGGGTGTTGGGTGAAGTAAGTGGTGGTTGAAAGGTTGAGCCTCCCACTGACGTCGCGTGCTTGTGAAAAAGCGCGACTCTAGCTACCTACCTCAGAGGCTCAGAGAACTCGGGGGGTCTTGGGGTAGGTGTATTCGTAGGTACAATGCGTCTAAACGAGTTGGCAGCTTCCCGCTCCAAGCTCCAAAGTTACCGGCAGTACATGCAAAGTCAATGCAAAAAAAGGTTGAGCTTCAAGTGCGCCTCGCTGCATCCTCGACCACTTCTCTAATTTTGATTTACAAGAGCGAATGTGACAACGAACATGTTCTACGCCTCACAATCATTCCCTACGAATCACAAAACGCAAAAATTGAAGCTGATGATCGATGCAGGGATCGAACCTGCGATCCTCTGCGTGTAAAGCAGATGCCTTAAACCGCTGGGCCAATCGACCGAATGCTTGTTGTTGAACTTTCGGGTCAGTCGTATGCCCAAGTTCCCCGAACAAGTGGAGCTGGGTCCACCATACGAGCTCCATACGTCACATCCAGCGCTCCAAAATTGTGAGAGCTTCCAACAACCAGTCAATAACACATACACATCAACCCACAACGACACTATGCGAGGAGTCAGAGCCCCCAATGCGCTCCTCAGAGCTGCCAATGGCATTCTGCCAGCTTCGCAGAGGTGATCTCCCACGCCAGCTCATTCCAGGCGACCTCAATTGACCCGAGAACAGCAGCGCACTCCAGGCACCGCTCGCGGCTCGCCTGATGATACCCTCAACCCTCCAGTCGCAGAAAAACACCGCCGTCGCCGCTGCGACGATCCGTCCCTTCTCCCACTCAAGAACCCTCCAAAAGAAGAAGAAGAACGAACCAAAATACCCAACAGCCGACTCCCCCGCCGTCGTCTCCCGCACCTCCCACACGGCAGACGAAGCCGACACAGACGACCTCCCGGGCTCAAAGCACCCGAAACCAGACCCGACCGACCCCCTCAACTTCGCCGACGTCGCCTCCCGCTTCGCCTCCCTCTCCTCCCACCACACCGAGATCCTCAAAAAACTGCAATCCGGCGACCGCTTCTCGCCCGACGCCATCGGCGCCCTGGCGATTCAGCCCGACCGCAAGGACCCGACGACCTACCCCCTCCGCGAGCTCGCCGAGATCGTGCCCCGCCCCGGCGGCCGCACCGTCAGCCTCCTCCTGCACGACAAGGACTACGTCAAGCCCGTCATGGCCGCCGTCCAGGCCTCGCCCGACTTCAACCAGCAGCCGCAGCGCGACCCGGATAACGAGCTTGAGCTCGTGCTGAAAGTCGAGGCGACCAACAAGGAGGTCGTCGTGCGCCGGGCAAAGGACGCCGCGCAGGCGTGGCGGGACAAGATGCGCGTCGCGACGGAGAAGAGGAAGAAGCTGCACGCAAAGTGGGAGAAGGAGAAGAGCATCGTGCCGGACCTCAAGAGGAGGGCCGACAAGGAGCTGCAAAAGGTGCAGGATAAGGAGATGAAGGTTGTCGATGCTGCTGAGCAGCAGACTGTCAAGAAGCTACATGCCTAAGTTCTTGAGATAGCTGAAACCCCTTTTTCAAAGTTTTTGAGTTTAAAAGTCTTCGACGGGTCGCATTCAAACAGGAGATGTGTATTTCCCAATTGCAACGAGGCGATTGAAACCAAAGAAAAGTCTCGGGAGAAAAAATTCAATCCGTAGTGTACAGTAGAAGAGACTTTCGGATCTAGTTGTACAATATGTATTTATTTTTGGCTGTACCAAACCTCCCATCTCTATAATCCTACAATGAACCCCCCCGTCTGAATTTTCGTCTTCACTCTTCTTCCCGTACCTATATCCGTCCTTGTTGATATTACAATCTCTTGAAAGACCCAGGCTTCCGATCAAGCCCTCGCAGCCTTGCCTCCCTTGGCGGCACCAGCAGCGGCAGCACCCTTCTTGGCAACAAGAGCCGCAATCTTGTTATCAAACTTCTTCATATCCCCCGCCACATACGTCTCGTTGTGCAGATGCGACTCTTTAGCCATGTTGATCGGATCCCGGCTACCACCAGGCACGAACTTGGGGCCGACGTGCTGGCCCTTGACGGCCCGCTCAAGGATATACTCCCGCACGGCCTTGCTCGCGCCGTCCTCGAGCTTCACATCCCGCACGGCGTGGACGTGGACGTCGTCGTCGACGACACCCGCAATGGCGTCGGGCTTCTCCTCCGCCGCCGTCTTCCCCGTCCTCTCCTCGCGCGCCTCGACAAACGCCTTCTTCTCCTCCCCGTCGACGAAGAAGTACACGCCCCGGTCCCGGGTGTTGGCCAGCGTCTCGGCCGTGTGCCGCACGTCGCCCCACCGCTCGGGCGTGTAGTCCGCCGCGCCGGCGACCTCCCGCAGCGAGCTCAGCACCGTCGCCGCCTGCACGACGGGCGGCGCCGCCGACGAGAGTGGCATGGCGGGCCTGAAGCCCAGCAGGTCGCCGACGCTGAGGCTGGGAGTAAACTGCTCGGGCGCGCCGTTGCGCTTCGAGATGTACGCGCGCTCCTCGACCGTCTCAGGCCGCCAGAACATCTCGATTTGGGCCTTCCAGGCCTCCGGGCCCTGCCCAGCAGGCCTCGGCGGACGGTTCTCGCCGTCTTCTTCGCCCTTGCGTCCGCCCCGGCCTCCGCCGCGACCTCCACGGCCTCCACGACCACCGCGACCGGCACCGCCACGACCGGCACCACGGCCCCTGAAGCCGCCGCCGCCACGTCCTCTGAAACTGCCTCCTCCCTCGCCTCCTCCACGGCCGGCGAACCCTCCACGGCCAGCGAAATCTCCACGTCCTCCACGAGCGCCGAAGCCAGCGCCAGCGCCAGGGCCACCGCGACCACGTCCGAGTCCAACAGGCGCCTTGACGAACTTGACCGCACCGCCAGATCCAGAAGGTCTATCGAGACCGCCAAGCCTAGGCTTCTCATCAAGGCCCCTAGGCTGAGAAGCACCACCGGAAGAAGAAGAAGCAGCATTATTCACCGGTCCGCCACGCAGAAGCTGTCCAATCTCGCTAGCCGCGGCGCGGGAGCGCTCTCGTCCGGTAAGTTGAGGCCTGTTGTAGGCTCGCGATGAGGAAGATTTGTCGCCGCCGCCGCCATTGTCGTTTCTGTTCGAGTTCGATGAAGAAGATTCGTCCGCGGGACGCAATTGCGTCGTGGAAAAGGTTCGGATGCAGGTCTTGATTGCGACCACATCGGGCCTTATACGGCTGCTCGCCGATCGCAGCGCCGTTTGATGCATTTTCGAGGGGGCGAATTGAATCGACGGGGGGTTTCGCGATCAATGTCTGTCGAAAGTGATGAGCTTCGTCCCTGACCTCAAGGTTGATCTTGCCAGGACCTTGCTCTGGCAGAAAAATCTTCGTTACGTAAGCGTGGTGAACTTGGTCCGTGCTCGGGTTGGGAGAGCTTAGGATCAATCACAGGCAAGGCGATGACCGTGGCATGCGTGGATGCTTTCACGGCGACCTTGAGAGTCACTGTACAGTAAAACTTCACACACGCGTCGAGAATCGTTGTTTAACCACGGCAATATGGGTATTTTTTCATTACAATACTCCGAGTAAGGAATATCAAAAAAAGATACGCTGAAGATATTCGTCAGTAGGATCTGTTGCCTACTTAGATTCCATATGACCGTGACTCGTCCTCGCATCATGTGCGTTCCCGCCTCAATACTCCAAGTCTCTTGCTTCCGAATGCCTTGCTCCTCTCAAATGCAAGTCTTGTGCATTATTAAATAAACCAATACCTTCTCCCAAGTCTTTTTGGTCAGTTGCCCCTCCTTAAACGCCCCCGGCCTATCCTCTAGTACTACCACATCTCTATGGTGCGATAGCGAGTCTTGGCAGAAAAAGGAGAAAAATAAAAAATGCAAGGACCCAATTCGAAATTTGAATAAAACAGAGATTCAACTCCAACGGCCTCTTGTCATTGCTTTGGACAGGACCGCATGCGATTGACGAGCTTCATGGGAACGCAGCCTCTATGGGCATCATTCTACTCAAGCCAGGGGCACGGCCTCGGTAGTAGGTGGTGCGTTGTACATCGTAACTAATTCCTTCACTTTAGGCAGCAAGTCTGGTATTCTAAAAGGTTTCGAAATCACGTCGTCCTGTATCGTCATGTTAGTGAAGTTCGATATGCGCAGTTGGGGGCCCACTTACGATACCGGCAGCTTTCGCGCTCTCAATCTGCTCTGGCCGCGCGTATGCCGTGACAGCGATGATGGGTATATGCCTAGTCAGAGTGCCTTCCCTCTCCAGTTCACGGATACGCTTCGTACACGTAATACCATCCATGACCGGCATCTCAAGGTCCATCAAAATGACGCTGAGATCAAAGCCCTCAGCCTCGTTGCCAGCCCAGAAACGGGACTTCTTGAGCTGTTCGAGGGCCTCGCCTCCGTGATTAGCGACGTATGTAGTGTTGCCGCAGCTTGTGAGTTGCTTCCGCAGAACCCTCTGGTTAACAATATTGTCCTCCACAATCAACACATCGTACAGCGGCGTCGCAGGAACAACCGGCTTCTTGATGGAAGCCCTTCTAGGCAGGGCTGTGAGTGGAGGCGTCGATGGTGCGGAAGTTGGTTCGCTCTTGATCGGTTGCGCCAAGTTAAGTGCTGAGAGAGACGGCGACTCCAGATTAGGGGATTCCGTCTTGCGACACTTGACATAGAACGCGAAAGTGCTGCCGATTCCCTTTTCAGAAACAACACCAATCTGTCCACCCTGTAGTTCGGCAAGCATGCGAGAGATGAAGAGACCGAGTCCCGAGCCACCATATTGCACGTGGGTGCGGGGTGAGGCCTGGGAGAACCGCTGGAAGAGAAGCTTTTTCTCATCTTCGCGGAGACCAGGGCCTGTGTCCTGGACTGAGAAATGGAGGTTGATCTCCTCTCCTGTGCCCCAATCCTTCTCCTGGGTCAAAGCCCGAACGTCCTCCTTCTCTTTGCGGGTCGGGAAATACGACACTCCTTTTTGGGTAACCTCGGTGATATTCTTGGATGCGCTCATCTTCATGGTGATCTCGCGCTTCTCGCGGCCTTGGGTGAACTTGATAGCGTTGGTCATGAGGTTGATTAGAACCTGCCTCAGCCTAGATGGATCCAGCCTGACCCAGTCGACAGCGTGAGTGCTATAGGCTTTGTCTACCGAGAAATCCAGCTTTATCTCGTGTGTATTCAACTCCGACTCGAACATCTTGATGACGTGTTTGACAATCGTGACCGGATGCGAGTCGACAGGTGTCACAAGCAGAAGTTGCGAGTCGAGCTTCGAAAGGGTGAGCACGTCATCGACAATACGTTTCTGATGGCTGGCGCATAAGTTGATGGTGCTGGCGGCTTCGGTGCAGCTTTCCAACAGAGTATCGAGTTGCGTAGGATCCTGCGGTTGAGCGCGGTACTCTGTGATACTGTTGACAATTTCATCAGCACACTGGAGGACCGCACTCAATGGATTGCGCATTTCATGACTGGTGATGTCGATGAAGTTTTCTTGTTGGCGTTTGAGCTCGACTGCCTCTTCTCTGCGTTGCTTCTGGAAGTCCTCGGCCCATTTTTGCGGCGAGATATCGGTGATGCAACCAAAGATACTCTTCAGGTAGCCCTCTTGAGTCTGTTCTGGGAAAGCACTCAGCAGGACCCAGGTATCGATGGTGTTCATTCCATTCTGGCGGCTGCACTTGAACCTGAACTCAATGGTGATGGCTTCCTTGTCTTCAATGAGCTTCCTCCAAGCAAGTTCGACGCCCGATCGATCTTCATCCCTCACACTTTGCATCCACGTGTTGACACTGTCTTCTGTTCTGGGATGCCTCGATATTTGCCACCACATGTCGTTGGCGAAGTTGATGAGGCCTTTGTCATTAGCAATGAACATACCGACCGGTGCGAATTCTGCCATTCGCGAGAACTTGTATTCGCTTTCGACTGCCTCTTGTGTTCTCAAATAGAGTTCCATTTGCAATTCTTGGCGATCCATCGCGGCCAAGCGAGCAGCCCTCTGTCCTCGTCTGATCTCCTCTTCGAAAAGAACAACCGATGCCATAGAAGTCGCAAGTTGTCTCGACAAGAGATGGATAAAAAGCTGATAGTCTTCGTCATAGGGTCGACGGGGGTTGGTGCCCAAGACGATGAAGCCAACGACAGACTCGCCGGCTGTGGTAGGGTGGACAGGCAAGATAACAATAGTCTTACTCGGGTCACCGAAGCCTCGCCACTCCAAGCCTTCAAGCAACTTTGTTGGCAGGTTCCCAGCTTCCGACGAGAGAATAATAGGTGCACCTTGCATCGTCATAGACTGGCGCATATAGGGAGCGAAGCCATCGTCTGATGACTTTAGGTCGAGCTGGGTTAGCCCAGCTGGGTGTCCCTCTGGAACGCCCAAGCTGCCTTCGAGGTGTAATAATGGTGGGTGTGCTATGCTTCCAGAGTGCATAGAAGATACTTCACTCTCGCTATTGTCTTCCTTCACTGAGTAGATGAGAGCAAACGGTACGTCCAAGTCGTTGAACTCCAATCCTTCCTTGACCCGCGGCCAGAAGCTTCTGACGTCCTTAGCAGCTGCTGTCTTCTCGCCCACCTCTCGTAAAGTCAACATCCGGCGTTCGTTGACCTTGCGGCGGGTATTTTCGAAAGCCGGATTGTAGAGTCCGACCACCTGGCCATCGGAACCCAGTAATGGGATGATTGACCATGAGAAGAACGTCTCCTCGAGGAATCCGTGTCGAAGGATAAATAGCTGGTTGTCGTTCTTCATGATTGATTGCCCATTTGTCCAAGCATTGTTGAACAAAGGCTCGATATCCGACCAGATCTCTTTCCATGCGTCCTGATATCGCATGCCCATGAGTTGAGGGTGCTTTTGTCCGGCAAGCTCAATGTAGGCCTCGTTGTAGATGGCGACATTGTCCCGTCCCCAGTACATGGCCGCAGGGTGGGGACTACCCATAACCATGTTGGCCATGGCCCTCAATTCTGAACTCCAGTGCCCCAACGGACCCAATGGTGTGGAGGCCCAATCAGTGTTGCGACAGAATAGGATGTGTTCACTCAAATCCGGAGTCGTTTGAATGCGGGTCCAATCGAATGATGGCCTCATCATCGCTGCTTGGAAGACCTGTTGGGTGAACTCGTCGGTGTGATACTTTTCGCCACTGTCTATCATCACACAGTCGTCAACGACAATTGGTGTATCATCCATCTCATGCGGCTCCGCTTCCATATCACCAAAGTAATCGGGTTCGTCATCCATGGGCACAATTGATGGCTGAGTTGGTGTCGGCCCTCTACTCCGCTGTTCCAGTACTGCTGATTCATCGGCCAACGGAACAGGGGAGTCTGCTGGTGCTGATACGGCGCTAGCATTGCCACTCACGAAGCGAAATCGTTTGCGTAAGGTCGAGCATGTCCATGTGATGCCGCCATAGCTGTGAGAAGGAAGGCAAACGTCAAGGGATTCATGGTTCAAGACAAAGCTCGTGGCCCATGTTTTGAAGTGGATATAGTCGGGATTCTTGATGACATCGTCACCCTCCACAGAAAGTAATTCCAAGACACCCACGGAGGCCCTGAGCGCCGCATTGGCGTATAGCAAATGCAGTCCTGACTTTTGCACGTTGACAGGATTCGCGAGATCGATGATGAAAGTTGGACGCTCATCCTGTTCCAAAAGTTCGATCACGCCAACTCCTCTCAAGATTTGGAGCCCTTGAGGAAGATGCTGGCTATTGGGGCTTTTTGAAGAGGTTAGGGTGGCGTCTGCAGAAGATAGACTACTACTCCCCGGCGTACTCCCAGACCTAGCTGATGTTTGTGCATGAACGGTTCCGCGGGGTAGGCGAACAGTATGAACGCGGTCTTGGTCCTCCCTCAGACGAGCTAGCAGGACAGCTGCAGCGTCCGAGGGGGGAAGAGCAGCTGGTCGAGGCGGCATCTGTCGTTTGTTGTTTGAAGAGAAGAACAGAGGGGAGACGACCCCTTGGTTGTGCCTAGCCAGAATGACTGACGCAGTTGGTTGTTTTGGCAGCTTGATATGCCCCGGTGGCCCCAGTCGAGTTCGCGCCTTCTTTAGAGGTGACGGGTTCGGTCGTTCGTGTGCGTTTTCGTCGTCGGATAGGCGCTTCCCGCTGGATGTTGAAGGTCTCGACAGATGGGTGGATTCTGTAAACGACCTGATAGTCGGAGAGGTCGGGTCCGACCTGGGGGTCAAGAGCGTCTTAGACGCGGCGTCGAATAAGGGATCGCAAGGAGTGTCGCTATACGTCAAACCATACCGACTAATGTCGGTAGTTGTCCATGACCCTCCGGGGCTTAATGTCGTCGAGGTTGGCGAGGCGGGATGGTAACGTGGGTTACTTGACTGTGGCTGTGAACCCGATCGCTTGTGGTTGACATTCGTGGTGGAAGAAGAAGATGCGGCGGCGGTAGAAGCCTCGGGTATCGCGGTGGTGGTGGCTACGGCAGCAAACGGGTCCGCCGTCGTCGGTCTGGTCGTCGTCCTCCTCTTGCTCGTCGTCGGGTTCGTTGCCGTGGTCGTGGGTGTGGTGATGTTTCCGGGAGCGTGGTAGGGTCGGTGTGTCGAGGGCAACGGGGGAGCGAGGAGTCGTATGGTGGGCTGGGGGAAGCGATCGTCGCCCTGCGGCATGAATGCGCGGGGAGAGGGAGTGAAGAAGAGGTGCGGCCGAGAGAGTCGGTCCGTTCTAGAAATTTTCGTCTCGGGCCTCCTTCTCTATGGTTGCCTTCCCCTGCCGAAACTAAAACGATTCCTTTTTAGCGACGGCGGAGACGGGACTGAAGCAAGTGCAGAAGTAAAGGCGCACGGCAAGCACAGACACAGTGGACGATGACACGGAGGGGTTTGGTGTGGTGCTGGGCTGGGAAGCGGGAGCAGCAGTTTGCAGGCCACAGGTGAGCGAGCGAGCGAGCGAGCGAGCGCAAGCCCAGGTGCCGCGGGAAGAGAAAGGCTTAGGCGGGCAACGCTACCTTAATCAGGTAAGGTAGGTATCCGTAGGTAGGTAAAATTCGGGTATTCCCAGAGGGGAGAGGGAAGGGGGGGCAGCGAGCTAGCGGTAAGAAAAATAGAAGAAGAAAACACCGACAGGGAGATGCCAGACCAGACGGGCGCTGGGTGCTTTGCTAGCTAAGCTTGCAACCGGGGTACAGATGGTGGGTGAGCGAGGCGGGAATTGGGGGTCGAGATAGAGCAAGGGTTTGACGGGCCCGGGCCATGAACAGGAAGGGGAAAGGCCTGCAGCAAAAAGAGTCTGGAAGGGACGGACGCCTGGGTTGGGATTCGGAGAAGGGGAATGAATGACTGGGAACATGCGGGCTTGATCGGGGCGCGCCTGATCAGGGTAGGCAAGGTGTGTTAGGGTAAGGTGGGATTGAGCCTTGAGCCTTGAGGTGCAAGTACGACGCATACAGCCAGCGACTGGGGTGATGGGTAATGGGGATTTGGGGGTTGGAGATGAAGGTTCCATAGGGACTGTACGGGGTCCTGTCACCTGGATAGGCAAGGTTGATCCGGCGCAGTCGGTACTGGACAAGATAAAAGCAAAGCAGACAGATGGCAACAGGGTCGTAAGAATAAAGGGGACAATAATGACTTGTTGGACTTGGACGGCGACAATGGGACTGCCACTATCGCAGCCACAGAAACAAGACAGCCGGAGTAGTAGCCCAAAGTTGTGGGATGGTCAACCGGGAAGGACTCCGAAAGCGTGTCGTCGTCAATCTGGGTCTGGCAGTCCAAACTTTGGGAGGGTGCCACCACTACGGCAGCCGCCGTTGAGTGTCATAAGGCATAAGGGACGGCAGAGGCAAACGATCAAGTGCCGTGACTAGAAGAGAGTAGAAGGAAAGAGATGAAGTTACCAGGATGAGGTTGAATGCGATCCAGGGTGTGACTGCAATCTACACCACACACGAGGTGCGGTGTATGAGATGATGGCACGGGCGAGTGTGATGGTTCTGACGCTACTGGACCTTAAGCACAGCGAAGGGACGTGGTGCTGTTGTGAGGCGTAGCTGCGAAGCTGCCTTCAAACGTGCTGCGTGCAGTGCTGATCAGGTTGTAGCAAGCCGCGCAAGACGAGAAAGCAAGGTCAGGCCCGTAGAGGTCGGAGCGGTAAAGACAGGCAGACGGCCCGTTGAGGACGACTTGAGGTGTCAGTGAGGCGCAAGGCGACTGAGCGGCTGACGATGCGATGGCTCCGAGGTGTGCTCTGCTGGTTTGGTCTGGTGGTCTGGTGCTAGGTACTGACTGGACTGCTCTGCGATGCTGCGTTAAGGTGATTGCGTTTCCGATGGTTGGAGCGGTGGGTAGGTGAGAAGATGTACGTGGAGATCGAGGGCGCAGGATGGAATCGAGAGATGGTACAGAAAGGCGGAATAGGAATCTCGATATCGAAAGAGGAGTCAGTGCGAGGGCACGCCGTGTATTGGTTAATGTTGCGGGAACCGTCTGTCCTTCTTCTCTCCTGGTTTGGTCCGGTTTAGGACCTTTGGGACTTGGACCGGATTGGAATGGTCTCGCAACCAAAAAAAAAAAAAAAAAAAAAAACCTGAGATATGGCCCCGGGGGGGAGGGGGGGTGGACTACTAGTAACTATTACTGTAGGTGGGCGGGCATGATTATGCGAATGGATCCAACGTGTGAGGTGGGAGTCTAGAAGACCAACAAACTGCAAAGGACCTTGCAGAAGGACGTATGGATGTCGACTCCTTTCTTGGCGGCTGGCAATGACAGAAACGGGGACAATGTGCAACTGAAGGTCTGGTCAGGCTGTGAGTATCCGTAAGGCAAGGTGCTAGCTAATTCGAGGGTCGAGGGGGTACGGGGTCTGCGGAAAGGGCCAGAAAAAGAAAAGAAGAAGGACGTGGGAGAGAGTCTTGGACTGACTGGAAAGTGAATTGGACATGAATTGGACATGAATTGGAAATGCATGACGGGAGGTGTGAGCATGAGGTGGAATTATCAAACAAATGGGAACTGTACCCTTGATGCTTTTTCGTGCCTTCCTTCACACCGGGGCTATCCCACTGCGGAACTCCTTCCATGCCGTTCATTCTTGCCAATCCAACTCCAAATCGTCCTGTCCTGTCCTTCCTTCCCCAGGTTTGCTCTCTCTCTCTCTCTTGATAGGGTAGGTGAGAACGGCATCGTGTCCTTCCGTACCCTAGCTACGTTACTACCAAAGCCACCAGAATTGATATATCCGATATTGTCTTATCCCTCATCTCACTAAGGTACCCTACCTTACTCACTCACTTCCTTCCATCGCACTTGACACTGGCAAATACATATACTCGCACACAAGCATACTCCATACCCATCTATGCATCTCATCCGATTCTCCTTCCTAAGTTGGGTAGCCCAGTCGTCAACAGCACGGACGGAAGCATCAGTAGACGTCAAGAATGAAGGCTCCTCGATTCCAAGGGACTAGCGGGCCACACAGCGATGACAAGATATGAGTTGTGTGCCGGTGTATACCTATGCAAGCTCGCCCGTTGCGCTCACAAAGGCAGCCAGCCCTCTCTGCACATGTGAGGAACAACCTAAAATGGGTGTGAGGAATCAAAAAGAAAGGGCAGATGGGATGAAGGCTCAGGCGGACGGGAGACTGGGACTGGGGGCGGAGCTGTCGGCTTGTATCCGCACTTTGTACTGTAGCCCGTGGACCGCACTGCAGGCACGCCGCACAGCTGGGGCCTGGGGGTGGTGGTGGTGGTGGTGGCATTGTGGATGGACGGCAGCGTGGTATTTTGGACCCGGGTCTGGAATCTCTAGATTTCTTGGGTTCTGCGCCTTGGCCAAGACATTGCTCCCACCCCAACATGAGCCTTGCTGCTTCCAGACATGGACACTCCCAGTTCCACACCAGGCATCAGACGACCTAGCCAACTTCATCTGCTTTACCTCATGCCAATTGCCAACCCAGCCGCAACGTAATTGATGACCTTTTCGTCATTGGAACTTTGCAACTACGAAGTGCGTCTCATCGGCAGTGTTTGATTTTCTCCCAAGACAAGCACAAGTCAAATCGTGAATGAAATCTGCAGCCTTCGTATCCCCACGGCCCTAAGGCCTACTACGTACGCAGTACCTAAGGCAAGGTTTCGTTGTCCACCAAAAGGCCCAAGCTTGGCCCACCTAAGTACCTACCTAGGGAGTTCCGCGTATGGAGAATTGGAGATTCACAACCCCTTCACAGACACACAAGATGCTGAAATCTTGCGTAGATCTCTGATACTTCGGCAATGGGCATACAGATTTTGTCAATGCAACTTAGAGACAACATGTGCCGGCTATATGACCTTTTCGATCTTTCTACAAGGCCGGGCAACGGCTCGCGTATTTCGCTCTTTTCATCCACCTCACAGGAATGCATGCTAGTGGGTGGGCGCAGCTTCTTTTGAGTCATCTGGAAACGAAACAGGAAGCGATGACAAGAGAGAAACCAGCACGGCGCACATTTCAAAAGTAAACAGAACCCAAGGACCAAGGACCAAGGCCCGTCCACTTCTGTCCTCGCGGCTTCTCGCTCCGCCCGTGGTCTGCGGGCTGCCTGCATATCCCGCGCAACTGCCATGCCATGCCGTTATTCCCTGTCATTACCCATTCATTACTGGGTGACGAGAAAGATTGAAAGCTGCAGACGGCGACCAACGCTTGTATCAAGATAGTTTCTCAAGCGGCAAGCCAGGTACCCGCCGTGCTTTCCGTGACGCCCGGCACTTGGCAGAGGGCATACGTCAGTCCGAGTCAATCTGGTGCGGGTTCACGATAAACCGTGTGTGTGCTTAAGGTAGGTTGTCTCTCACATTCAATCAAAGAAGAGGGTTTTTGACATTCCACAAGCGTACCTAGCCGAAAAGTTGCGCCGTCGTCAGCAACGGCGTAGATGCAGCAAAGCGAACCCGATGAATGGC